ACAGGAAGAGTAATGCTGCCAGCCTGGGCACCAGCCACGAGCCCCGGGACTCTAGCTGGGCCGAGGAAGGAGCGGGCCTGACCAGAGAGCAGATTGTAAAGGCATGTGGTTCTTAGCTCAGCCTCATAGTGACCAGGCTGCAATCTCAAGTTCATGAGGCTAGCGGAGAAAACAAGAGCTAGACTCTGCTGCTCTGGGTCAGGACTGTTTGGATATACAGCTAACCCTCAGTCGGAGCACACTGGCATCTAAGACTCTGAGTGGCTCTTTGTACAGATGTCAGTAGGGAGAGGAGGAGACAGATGAAAACCTTGACCTAGCTGGGCTATGACTTTTCATTGTTACGCCCATTGAGAGCCTCTCAGGAAAAACATGGTTTTTTGGTTTTTGTGGTGTTGGAGATTAAACCTACCCATTGAGCTAAATTCTCAACCTTTCAAAAAATAGCTGGGATTTTGTTTGTTTGCTCTTTAAGATATTCATTATTTTGCTGGGCAGTGGTGGTGCACACCTTTAATCCTATCGCTCAGGATGTAGAGGCAGGTGGATCTCTGGGAGTTCAAGACAAGCTTGGTCTACAGAGTGAGTTCCAGGACAGCCAGGGTTACACAAAGAAAACCCTATCTAGAAAAAAACAAAAACAAAAAGCAAAAAAAAAGATTTTCATTATTTTTAATCATGTATGTGTAGGTGGGCACATGTGTGTCAGATCATGCATGTGGAGGTCAGAAGATAATTTGCAGGGGTCTCCCTCTGCCATGTGGGTCCCCAAAATTGAACTTGGGTTCTCAGCCTTGTTGACAAGTGCATGTATATAATGAGCTATCTCTCCAGTCCCAAAAGCAGTTTTAACTTTTCCTTCTGTTCCTCATTCGAAGGGTAGGGCAATGGTGACACTCCCACAGACTCTTTGTCTTGTCTGGCTATGTAACTAAGGATTACCTTGAACTTCTGATCCTTTTGACTCCATCTTCTAAATGCTGGCAGAAGCTACCAGGACCAGTTTAATGGGGTGCTGAGGATCAAACCCAAGGCTTCATGCATGTTAGACAAGTATTCTATCAATGAGTTATATTAGCCCCCCCTTTAAATGATTATCATTATTTATTTTTTAGTTTTTTTCCCCCCCAGGGTCTCACTATGTAGCCTTGGCTGTCAACTCACTATGTAGGCCAGGCTAGCTGGAACTCATAGAGATCTGCCTGCCTCTGCCTCCCAAGTGCCTGGCTTGTGGTTTTTTTTGTTTGTTTCTTTTTGCCAGCTAACTGGAGATGCCTTCCCTACCAGTGAGACTAGCTGAAATATGGACATCTCCGCTGCCAGGAGCTCAGCCTGGGGACCTCAGTGTAGGCAGTAGGTAACCTAGGCAGGAGCCAGGGGCTGGGAGAATGGCTGTGGTTCTGTCCCAGGAAGAACAACAATAGTCCCTCTTGCACACACGTCTGTGAGTGATGAGCCCAGTGCTTACCACTCTCATACTTGCAGTTGGTCAGATTGATGGCCAGGGGTCTGAAATGAAGGAAGAACAGAAATCAGGCAGAGCAGGAGGGAAGGACAGGCTCCAGGCAGCCAGGAGCCCAGGTAAAGAAATAGCTAAGGAATTTATAATCAAATTCATTTTCTCTAGAAGTATCTTACATACCAAACCAACATGCTACAATTCCAAGCTGGGCAGACCCAATGGCTCTGATCTTTTTTTTCTGTCGCAGCAGCCTTTCTTTCTTTTTGGATTTTCAAGAGGGGGTTTCTCTGTGTAGCCCTGGCTGGCCTGGAACTCAGCGATCAGCCTGCCCCTGAGTGCTGGGATCAAAGGCATATGCCACCATGACTGGTTTGTGTGTGTGTGTGAGCATTGGGGATTCAAACTCAAGCCTTCGTGCTGTGCACCAAACTCTCTTCCCCAATTGAGCCATCCCATCATCCCATTGTTATATGGTTTTTGAATCAGGGTCCCAAACTGGCCTGGAATACATAGTAATTCTTTTGTCTCAGCCTTCCTATTGCTGGGATTATTGATGGACGTGCACCACAACCTGGCTCTCCTCTCCTCTCCCAAAGGCTAATGTGAAAAGCTTAGATCTCATCGTTCTCCTCTACCAAATGGCGATGTGAGGCCGAAGGGCTGACTCTCTAGAGCCAGATCTGTGGGGATCTAGGGAAAAGTTACCTCCGTTTCCGCTTCCTCTTTCTCCTCCCAGCTTCCAAATCATCTGTGTCTGTTACACTTAGGATTTTCTTTGGGATTTTCTTGGCCACAACAGATAAGGTAACCCCATTCTCAAACTCTTTATAGTCAGCCTTTGCAAGTGCCTGCTGGGAAGAGTTGGGGGTGGTCGCTTCCTCTCTAACACACTCTTCCTCAGATTCTTCTTCCTCAACATAGTCTTCCTCAGATTCACTGGTCTTACAGGTACTAGGCTCCATCCTCTTAGATTCTAAGGGGAAAAGGATGGGAATGAAGTATCAGACCTCCTTCCAGGCCCAGGAAGTCCTGCAGGAATTCACCCAGAGACCTTTTATGGAGCTATAAGGAAATGTTGCCCTTTCAGACCAATTCTACTGTAGACTAGGTTGTTTCCAAGTAGAGGGCTATGGGGAGAGCATGGGATGTTGATAGGATGTAAAGTCCTTAACTAAAAGACCCCATCATCATCCAGGATTACCCTGGATCATTCAAAACACTGCAGTGCATGCAGAACAGAGCTGGCAGAAGCCATGATCGCAGCTGTTTTGTTTCCTGAATGGGAAGAGAGGTGGCTGACGGAACTAGATGATTCTTTGCTTTAAAATACAGGTGATCAAAGGTTCTCGGGCCGGCCCTTTCCCCGAGCCAGGATTCAGTTTCCCTATGTGAACACGTCGGGGTCGGGCATCTGATGGCTGATACCCTTTGGGCTCGGATAGAGGAAAGGAAACCCACGGCAGACACTGCCCACCCGAGGTTTCGAGGAGAGCTCAGGGGCTGCTGGAGTTGCCCCTAGCAGCCCGGGGCTGGCCTCAGCTGGTCGCTCATGGCCGCCCCTCGCCCGCTGCAGCTCTTCCTGGGCGTTGCTGGACGTCGAGGACCGTCTCTTCGTTCCACAGGACTGTCTGTCCCCGCCGTCGCGAGGGGGAGCCCGCTCCCCCTCGGGGTTAACTCCTAGCTCCGAGATCCTGGCGGCGGCGGCGCCTCCTTAAGCAAGCCGACGGCCGCCGCCGCCGCCGTCGCTATGGACACGAAGGCGGCCCCTATTGGAGTAGCGTTCTGGGGGCGTGGCCTTCCCGGGAACCACACCCCTTTTGGTGCCAGCGATGCCATCTTGGCCCCCGACTGTCGGGTTTTGCCGGGTGGGGCTGGAGGTCAAAGTGTATAAGAGCCCGTGTTCAGCTAAGTGGGATTCTTCCAATGCATTATGGGACTTGTAGTCCTCCCGCATTGGTGACTTTCCTGGATTCCCATTGCCGAGGCAAGGAAGTATGTATTTGAGAGAAATAGCCGCTTGTGTTTCTTCTGCATTTTAGAAATGGTGCCATGAGAAAAGTCCCCGCCCTTGACAGGGACAGCAGCGATTAGGACACATGCCTTCCAAGGTTTTCACCCTGATAAGCTGAAACAGTTCCATTAACTAATTACAGAATAGGGCCAGAGAGGTGGTTCAGCGGTTAAAAGTGCTTGCTGACAAGCCAGAGGACTTGAATTCGACTCCCTGAAACCACGTGGTGGAAGATGAGAGCCAGGACAACAGTAAGTTGTCCTCTGACCTCTATACCCACGCCTTGGCATGGTGCCCACCACCATCAAGAAATAATTTTTTAACTGAAAGAAAAGGAAATGTTACCTCATGCAATTGTCGCCTTCCTATACTTGACATTCTCCCACTTTGAATTCCACTCGCTTCCTCCACCAAACCCAACCCAACTTGTTAAAATTCAGATTATTTTGTGTGGCAAAACCCAGAGAAGAATCGAACAATTTTTGTTCATAAAACGACAAACATTCCAGAAGTTACATGAATATGAGTATTTTCTGCTTACCCTGTAATATTGAAAATGTGCTTAAGTAAGTAGTTGTGCGGTAATGGAAGCTTATGTCATTAATTTTTAAAAATACTAATTTATGTGTATGAGCTTTTGCCTGCACGTATGTATGTGGACCACATTCTTGCTTGGAGGCGGTGCAAGTCAGAAAAGGACATCAAATCCCTTGGAACTGGAGTTACAGATGGTTGTGAGCCATCATGTGGGCCATGGGAACTGAACCTGGGTCCTCTGAACCAGTGAGCCATTTCTCCAGCATTTTTTAATTGTTAAAAAGTTATGTATGTGTGTTTCTTTGTGCCTGAGTGCCTGTGCTCCATGTATGCACAGAGCTAGAGGAGGCCAGAGGAGGGGATTGGATCTGCTGTAACTGGGGTTACAGATGGTTGTGAGCTTTCATGTGGGTGCTGGGAATCATACCCAGGTCCTCTGGAAGAGCAGCCAGTGTTCTTAACCAGCCCCCTCTTTTATTCTTTTAAGTATTTACTTATTATTTTATGTGTATGGGTGTTTTGCATGCATTTATGTATGTGTACCACATGTGTGCAAATGCCCTGAGGCCAGAAGAGGTTGTCGGTTCTCTGGAACTGGAGTCACATATGGTTGTTAGCTGCCATGTGGGTGCAAGGAACCAAACCCTGGTTTTCTTTTTTTTTTTTTAATTTTTTTTTCTGTCATCAGCTTGATACAGTACACATTCTTATCCCAATAGTGAAATGTTTCACTGATGCTTGCCCAGTGATTGAGTGAAACCAAAACTTATAAGCCACAGTCATCCTAGGGTCCCCCCTGCTATGTAGCCACCCTGGTTCTGTGGGTTGCAGTCTGATTGTTCTTTGCTTTATGTCTAGTGTCCACTTATAAGTGAGCACATACCATGTTTGTCCTTCTGGGTCTGGTTTACCTCACTCAGGGTGATATTTTCTAGTTCCATCCATTTGCCTACAAATTTCATGCTGTCATTGTTTTTCTCTGCTGAGTAGTATTCCATTGTGTAGATGTACCACATTTTCTTAATCCATTCTTCAGTTGACGGGCATCTAGGTTGTTCCCAGGTTCTGGCTATTACGAATAATGCTGCTATGAACATAGTTGAGCATGTATCTTTGTGGTATGATTGAGCATTCCTTGGGTATATGCTCAACAGTGGTATGGCTGGGTCTTGAGGTAGATCGATTCCCAATTTTCTGAGAAACTGCCATACTAATTTCCACAGTAAACCCTGGTTCTCTATAAGAGGAGTAAGTGCTCTTCACTGCTGAGCCACCTCTCCAGACACTCATTCTTTTAGTCTTAAAATCAGCATTCTGCCGGGCGGTGGTGGCGCATGCCTTTAGTCCCAGCACTCAGGAGGCAGAGGCAGGTGGATCTCTGTGAGTTCCAGGCCATCCTGGGCTACAGAGTGAGTTCCAGGACAGGCTCCAAAGCTACACAGAGAAACCTTGTCTCGAAAAACTAAAAAAAAAAAAAAAAACAGCATTCTATGTGATTTAAGAAAGTATTATTCTAGCCAGGTGGTGGTGGTACACACCTTTAATCCCAGCACTTGGGAGGTAGACAGGTGGATCTCTGAGTTTGAGGCCAGCCTGGTCTACAGAGTGGGTTCCAGAACAACCAGCCAGAGCTGTTAGAGAAACCCTGTCTTGAAAAACAAAGACAAATATATATATATATATATATATATATATATATATATATATATATATATATATATATATATATATAACAAATATGCTGACCTTGTTACTCCTTAAAGGGGTTTCAAGTAAGTAAATAAGCCAACATTCTAAGTGCAGGAAAAACGTACCCTAAGGTTACGTCACCCTGACATCTGAGCTGTAAACAAATGAAACATTTGGTCCTCAACGGGTCAATACTATGTACTTATTTACTTTGAAGCCTGCACCATCAAACTCTCCCTTAAATTTAAGGTGTTGTTGAGTATGACATTTCTTCAGGAGAGTGAGTTCATAACGTAGATGGAATTCTGTAAGATACGCATGCTAAGTGTCCAATCTTTTAAATTTAAATTTCATACCTATAACAAGAGAACAAAAAGTGTGTATTTAGGACTTGATATCCCTTGCCAAGTTCTTTTCTATACTTCTCAAGATCATTAGGTTACTGACTCTGAAAAGTGATGTAATCTGGTAGTAACCTCATAATTTAAATCAAGGCATTTGCATAAAATAAATAAGGGCAGGGGCTTCAAGAGGGCTCAGCAGATAAAGGAAGCCAAGGCTGAGGGACTAAGTTAGAAACACCTCAGGATTCCTAAGGTAGGAGAAAACAGACTTCCCCAAATTTATCCCCTAATCTAGACACACACTCACACACACTAAGTAAATTAATGAACGTAAAGACATGGGGTTGGGATGTAGATCAGTTGGGTAGACTGATGGCCTAATGCTCACAAAGCCCTGGGTTTGATCTCCAACATCCCAGGAAACAGACATAGTGGCATTCATCTGTGACCCCAGCATGTGGGAGGGGGTGGCAGGAGAGTCAGAAGTTCAAGGTCATCCTGAGCTACAGAGAGTTCTAGGTGTGAACTAGAATTCCTAAAAAGGCTGTGTGTTGGGTGCTCATGTTTAATCCTAGCATTACAGGCAGATCTCATTCAGCATTCAAGGCTTGCCTGGTCTACACAGTAAGTTCCAGGACAGCCAGGGCTATGTAGACAAATCCTGTCTCAAAAAACAAACAAACAAAAAAAATAGATTCCCTGAAATCTACTTAAATAAACTGTGTCTTCAAAGACTCCCCATCTAGCCGGGCAGTGGTGGCACAAGCCTTTAATCCCAGCACTTGGGAGGCAGAGCCAGGCGTATCTCTGTGAGTTCGAGGCCAGTCTGGGTTACAATATTGAGTTCCAGGAAAGGCACAAAGCTACACAAAGAAACCCTGTCTCGAAAAACCAAAAGAAAAAAAAAAAGACTCCCCATCTGTATTGGAATGTTGGTTGGCTTGGCTTGATCTTGTTCAAATCTTGTGCAGGAATATTAGTCCTAGGGATTAAACTCCTGTCATTGTGCTTGGTGACAAGTACCTTTGCCCCCTGAGCACTCTCTCTAGTCTATGACTAGCATTTAAAAAATTTTTTTGGTCAGGCAGTGGTGGCGCACGCTTTTAGTCCCAGCACTTGAGGCAGGCAGATCTCTGAGAGTTCGAGGCCAGCCTGGTTTAGAGAGTGAGTTCCAGGACAGGCTCCAAAGCTACACAGAGAAACTCTGTCTCGAAAACAAACAAAGAGGTAGACTTGGTACGTAACCTAAGACGGCTTTGAACTCACTAGTCAGCTCTGTTATTGGGGGCTAGAAGAACATTTAGGATGGAGTTTCAGAGAGACAGGAGGTTGAGCCCCAGGATGAAACAGTGCCAAGTACAAGGGAGAGGCAAAACCAGTCACAGACAAAGCTGGAGACCCGGAGATTCAGGGAACTAAGACGGGGGGTGGGGGTGGGGTGGGGGTTAGTTCTTTGATTTGAGAGGTTTGAGGCTAGCTTGGGCAACAGAGCAGACTCCATCTATTAAAAAAAAGAAGAAGAAGAAGGAGGAGGAGGAGGAGGAGGAGGAGGAGGAGGAGGAGGAGGAGGAGAAGAAGAAGAAGAAGAAGAAGAAGAAGAAGAAGAAGAAGAAGGAGAAGAAGAAGAAGAAGGAGAAGAAGAAGGCAGTGGTTGGGAAAGGGACAAGAGCAAAGGAAAATCAAGGAAATGGTAGCTGGATGCATCCATAACCCAGCAAAGCAGAGGCAAGGATTCTCACCAAAGGCAAAGCCAGACAGAACAGGAGTGTGAGCTCCCACACTCACTGATTTCCTCTCCCCCACGACCCCCAGCCCCAGACAGGGGTTCTTCGTGCAGCCTTCACTGTCCTGGAATTTGACCTGGAATTCAGAGATCTCCCTGCCTCTGCCGCCCACTCCCCCTGCCCCCCTCAGTGCTGGGATTGAAGGTGTGTGCCACCACCCCCTGGTACATTTACTTTATTTGAGATACATTCACTTTCATTTATGTGTACACATATGGGTGTGTATGTGAGACTCAGAGGACAACCTTTACCATGTGGGTTCTGGAGGGTGAACCCAGGTTGACAGGCTTGGCAGCAAGCACTCATCCCCCTACTGAGTGACCTCGCTGGCCCTTAATGGCAGATCTGTTACCCCTGGGGCTTGTCTAAGAAGAGAGATGAGAAGCAATTGAAACCTTCAGGAGAATACATTCATTCAGTGCTTTCTCTATACTCCTCAAGCTGAGAGGTGGGAGGTAGTCATGAAATGCCCAGATGCCGGTGATTGAGTCTTTGGAAAGGGTCTCGCATCATTAAAGAAAGAACTGAAGAATCACGGCTCTTCCTGGGCCACCAGGGCCACCAGCGCTGCCTGCACCTCCTCTGCCTGAGTTTGGGGCAGCAGACAGTCCTGAATGAGGGCCACCGCAGCTGCCTCGGTCAAGCTGTCGAAGTCCTGGGATGTTTTAACCGGCAGGTGGCCAGCCAGCTCACAGAGCGCAACGTTGAAAGCCCCGCTTTCCTTAATTCCGAAGCTGGACTTCCGGGCCCACAGAATGACTCGGATCCCAGTGAGGCCCGAGGAAGAGGATGCCTGCCCAGGCGGAGCTCCCCGGGTCACAAATAAGTTATGTGCAATCTCGTGGTCACTCAGATAGTCAGTGGCCCGGCATACCCTGCTAATCAAGGCTTCCAAGTCAGGCCCTGGCCCATTAGCGTAAAAGAGGAAGCCAGGAGCTGGGAGCGACTGCAGCAGATGTATACAGCCCTTTGGATCCAGAGGTGTGCTTGGGGCGCCCTCCACAGGCAGTGGGTGGGCCAGGTAGTAGCCATGCAGGTGCAGGTGGTTCACAGAGGCCAAAGCCCCCAGGCTGTTGAAGCCTACTCTGAAGCCTGGGTGAAAGCTCAGGAACACAGCTTCAAGTCCGGCCCGCAGCACCCCGGGCAGCAGGCGCTGGGGGAGCCCACGAGCAGGCTCAGGCACCAGCAGCACATGGCCCCACTCCAGGGGGCTGACGTTGATCACCACAAGGATGTCCTCTTGCTTTGGGGCAGCTGGGCCGTTAGGCTCCCGTTGCAAACGGAAAAGGACTTCTCCGGGTCGGATTTTATTGAAGTTAAACTGTTGAGGGTCAAACTCCTGCCTTACACTTCTGATTTTCTGAGGGCGCCTCCTCTGTACTCCTCGCTCTATATTCAGCTGAGCTACAAACCCCACGGAACCAGGGAGGATTTGGGTCTGCAGGTCTTCTAGGCGGTATCGAAACAGGCCCAGTTCCACTCGCTGTATCCACGCAGAGCAGAGGGCAGAGTCGAAGCGGGACCGTGGCAGTTTGTCCAGGGTGCTGGGTGCATTCCTTGGCCACTGAATTCCCTTCCCTACGAGGTCCTTCTGTCCATAAACAAAGTCTGGGATGTCTCGTCCCTCCCAGTCCTCAGGGTTTGGAGGGAGCAGATAGGAAGTTTCCTGTGAATCATGTGGAACAGCCATGAAGGCCACCTGAAACAATCAGAGATGAAGAGTGCATAAGTACAGAGAGCAGCCCATTTCCAGAGGTCTGCACAATCACCGCGCAGCCCAGAGATGATGATGATGATGATGATGATGATGATGATGATGATGATTTATTGGGTTTTTGAGACGGTTTCTCTGTGTAGCCCTGGCTGTCCTGGAACTCTCTCTGTAACCTAGGCTGGCCTGGAACTTGCAGATCCATCTGCCTCTGCCTCCCGAGTGTTGGGATCAAAGGCGCAGCACCATAGCCCAGCCAGAGATTATTTTTGAATCATCTTTTTCTTCTAGTTATAAAACTGATAGGAATCTGTTGACATGCCTCAGAAAACTGAAGAAGTCAAGGATTTGCTGCTCACAGGCAAAAGGATGCCAAGTCAGTCAGCTCAGGAAGAGGGAAAGGTGCAGTTCAAGGTTTGATGCTGCAGGATTCCAGCCTGGTCATCATAGACAAGGAGAAGACAGAGGGGCTGAAGCTGTCCCTTCCCCCTGGTTTGGAAGCAAAGGAGCTAAAATGAACCGAACCCCTCATTTGGACTGCATTAAAAATCCTGAAAAAGCCGGGCGGTGGTGGCGCACGCCTTTAATCCCAGCACTCGGGAGGCAGAGCCAGGTGGATCTCTGTGAGTTCGAGGCCAGCCTGGGCTACCAAGTGAGTCCCAGGAAAGGCGCAAAGCTACACAGAGAAACCCTGTCTCGAAAAACCAAAAAAAAAAAAAAAAAAAAAAAAAAAAAAAAAATCCTGAAAAAAACAAAGAAAATAAAAAATAAAAGTAAGAGATAATATGTGCCCTTGATAAAATATTTAGAAAACATAGACATTGTTCATAATTCCATCATCTGCAAATGAGGGTGTTTTTACTGAATTAAAAACATAGCCAGGCATAGTGGTGCACGCCTTCAATCCCAGCCCTTGGGAGGCAGAGGCGGATCTGTGAACAGCCCCCCCCCCCCCCCCCCCCACTGGTAAAGCACCAGCCTTGCAAATGTGAAGAACTGAGTTTGAATCCCCAGCAGCCAAGTATAGTTGAGCGTGCTACATGGCTGTAATTCTAGTGTTCCTGCCCTGAGACAGAAGGTGGAGACCAACACCCAAAGTTGTCCTATGACCTCTACATGTGTGGCAGGTGCACGCACACACACACACACACACATACACATACACACACACACACACACACACTGTACACAAACACCAAATAAACTCAACACTCGGTGTGTGTGTATGTGTATATATGTATACACACACATAATTTAAATTTTTTGAGGGCTAGGGGTGTAGCCCTGTAGTTGCATTTTTCTTTGGGCTACCAGCTCACAAATAATGACATGGAGACATAATTATGAAAGATTGGCCGTAGTTTAGGTTTGTCCCCCTAGCTCTTTTTTTTTTTTTTTAAGATTCATTTATTTATTATGTATACAGTGTTCTCTTTGCATGTATGCCTGCAGGCCAGAGAGGGAGCCAGACTTCATTACAGACGGTTGTGAGCCACCATATGGGTGCTGGGAATTGAACTCAGAACCTCTGGAAGAACAGCCGGTGCTCTTAACCTCTGAGCCATCTCTCCAGCCCCCCCCCCCCCCCAGCTCTTATAACATAAATTAACCCATTTATTTTAATCTTTGTTCTGTCGGGTGGCTTGTTACCTCATCTCTCCATACTGCTCTTGGTGCTTCCTCCAAGTCTGGCTGGTGCTTCCACCTCTTCTCAGTTCTCTCTTTGCCTTGAAGGCAAATGCCTATCCCTCCTGCCTAGCTATTGGTCGTCAGCTTTTATGACACCAATCACAGCAATTTATTTTCACACAGTGTACAAATATCCCACAACATAGCTCACTCAGGTGGTAGACTATCTGCCTAGCCTTGGGTTTGATCCCTGGGACTGAATAATCTGGGTGTGATAGCTCATGCCTGTGATGGGAGGTGAAGACAGGCAGATCAGAAGTTCAGCATTGACCTCACAGTAAATCTGAGGCCAGCCTGAGTTACATTTGTGGTGATGCACACCTGTGACCCCAGCATTTGTGAGGCTGTCAGGACCAACTCTATGTCCAAAAAAGCCTACACAGTGAGAATCTGCATGCTAATCCCAACGGCAAGAATAAAACCACTACCATAATTTGAACCAAATTTGAAGCAAGCTTGATTTTTATTGGGGTGCACCCGAGAGCTGACCAGCGACTGCTTCCCAAGTTGGTTTAAATAGAGCAGCCCTGAATCCACCTCATGGGCCCCTTTTAAGGAGTAAAATCACTAAGCCGGGCTGTGGTGGCGCACGCCTTTAATCCCAGCACTCGGGAGGCAGAGCCAGGCGGATCTCTGTGAGTTCGAGGCCAGCCTGGGCTACCAAGTAAGTTCCAGGAAAGGCGCAAAGCTACACAGAGAAACCCTGTCTCGAAAAACCAAAAAAAAAAAAAAAAAAAAAAAAAAAAAAAAAAATCACTAGTAGTAGTTTTACAGAAAGGAGACAATGGGGCAATAAGGAAATTAAAAAAAAAAAAGAAAAGAAAAGAAAACTTTAAAAAACCATCATGCTGGGCGGTGGTGGCACACGCCTTTAATCCCAGCACTCGGGAGGCAGAGGCAGGCAGATCTCTGTGAGTTCGAGGCCAGCCTGGGCTACCAAGTGAGCTCCAGGAAAGGCGCAAAGCTACACAGAGAAACCCTGTCTCGAAAAACCAAAAACAAAAAAACCAAAAAAACAAAAACAAAACCATCAGATGATCACTTACCGTGTGATTAGGAGGGGTCAGAGAGTTAGGGAGGGTCAGGGTCAGGGTCTAATGAATCAAGGTCATGGGTTGGGGAAGGTCAGGTTCCAGGAAACGAGCTACTCAACTCACACAGTAAATAGAAACTCGTTTTTGAAAATACAGCATAGGGCTGGAGAGATGGCTCAGCGGTTAAGAGCACTGGCTGTTCTTCCAGAGGTCCTGAGTTCAATTCCCAGCACCCACATGGTGGCTCACAACCTTTCCTAATGAGTTCTGGTGCCCTCTTCTGGCCTGCAAGCATGCATGTAGGCAGAACACTGTATACATAATAAATAAATGAATCTTAAAAAAAAAAAAAAGAAAATACAGCATAATGGCTCCTGCCTTCAAAACGGAGTCAGGCAGGTTCCTCTTGCAGGAGAGAAAGAAAGAGCGGAAGATAGAGAGGGAGGGAGGGAGGGAGACAGAGAGAGACTGCTTCAGTCTAAGTCTGTTCTCCCTCATCTTTGCTGGTCCACACATTCACACTGGCAAACCAGAAGAAAGTACACAAACAAAATGATACATAGAAGTCAACCTAAGGTGGTGTAGAACATTATTTTGTGTGTTACTTTTGTTATGTTACATTTGTTTAACTCTGTGAAGCTGTGTTACTGTGCCTGTGTAAAACACCTGACTGTCTAATAAAGAACAGAACCACCAATAGGAAAGAGAAATAGGTGGGGCTGGCAGGCAGAGAGGATAAATGAAAAAAGAAGTAGCCAAAGACGGAGGAGGACTTCAGGAGCCAGCCACCCAGCCAGACGTGGAGAAAGAAGGACAGAAAAGGTATACAGAAATAGAGAAAGGTAAAAGCCCCAAGGCAAAAGACAGATGGGGATAATTTAAAGTTAAGGAAAGCTGGCTAGAAACCAGCCAAGCTAAGGTCGAGCATTTATAATAAAGAATAAGCCTCCATGTGTGATTTATCTGGGAGCTGGGTGGCTGGTCCCCAGTACCATCACCATCTCGATTAAGGTCTTTAAAGAGAGAAGTAAAGTAATACAAAAAAGAATAAACCATGTAGAAACAGGAAATACACAGGAAGCCTGGACCCTGTATGTTACTGTGTTGATTTTGAATTTTTTGATTGTTGAGAAGCAAAAGACAGTTGCTAGGAGACATGGAATTGTGAACCGGACTGCTAAATTGAACAAATCTAGATACTTTAGGACTGCCTTAACTTTAAAAAAGTAAAAAAATATATTTGTCAAATGGAAGTAAAAACGCTTTGGAGTTTTGTTCCCACAGGAGATGAGAGGTTGTGGATTCCTTCAGGGTTAATAGGGATCAGGTCTGATCAGGTGAGACCTCCTGAATCTTGACAGGTTGAAGCACGAATCCTAATTGGTCTTAAACAAAACCTGGAGCCAGATGTTGGGGTAAATGCTGAAAGATCAGAGACAAAGGAACAAGCCACAGCCATCTCTCACCTCACCGACTCCTCAGTCGAAAAAGACTGACTCCTGTCTCCTCCCACCTTACAGTCCTTTTTCAACCCAGCCATATCACTTCTTATCTCAGCCTCCCTAGTGCTGGGATTAAAGGCATGTGTGCCTCCCAAGTACTGGGAACAAAAGTATGAGATTCCAAGTGCTGGGATTAAAGGTATGTGCCACCACTGCTTGGCCTCTATGGCTAACTAGTGGTTTAGCTCTGCATTCTGATCTCCAGGCAAGCTTTATTTGTTAAAGCACAAACAAAATATCACCTCAACAGGTGATATCTATCAGCAAAGGTTACTGCTGGTCTTCCCAGGACTTGGCCATTATCTTAAATTTTCTCAGAGACCCCTAAAAAAGACACCTTTACCCACAGACAGCACAAAGCAGTTTGGAGAACATGACGTCCACATTTCCAAGAGGGTGTGGGGGGCTTTTGGTTATTTGGTAGGTTATGGATGTTTGTTATCATTTAGGAGAATATAGTATATTGATACAAATTTAAAGTTATTTTGTTATACTGTATATATGTTTCTACTTTTGTTTAAAGGACTTTTGTATATTGATACAAATTTAAGGTCATTTTTATTACAACATATTGTATATATGTTTTTCCTCTTGTTTAAGGTATTGTATCTATACAGTTCATTTGAAAATGTAGGGTGAAGTTCTAGTTTTTGAAAGCTATTATTATAAACCTACATAGGACAATCAAGAAACATAGGTCAGTAGTCATTTATAACAATCAAATTTGTAGATATGTTAGGTATGTTTTTTAGGTTAAATAGATATATTTTAGATAGATGGTCTTCAAATACTTCAAAGACCTATAGAATATGGCATTTAAAATGTTTTGTTAAAGTTTTTTTTTATGACAAAGAGACACATCTACTCCTGGCAGCACCGGAGAAGAGGATGGGCATTGAAGAAACCCCTTATGGAGTTTACTTTCATTATGGCAAGATTAGCCACTGGGTAAAGAAACCGGACTTGCCTTTGACTGCTGACAATGTGCTGTGCAGACTGGACATGCAAGACATACAGGAAAAAGACTGATGAACTTTGCCAAAACAAGGCAGGTCAGTCCTTCAAATTTCCTGCTTCATTGAGAAGTTTGCCTGATACTCTAGGCCTGTAGACTGAAGATGGATGCCTCAATGTTGCAGAGGAACTTTGGGTGACTGTCCAGGCAGAAAAATGTCTCTGTTGTTAGGTAATATTACATCCTTCTGGGTCTTTGATGGAGATGAAGACTAGATACAGTTGCAGTTCTTCCTTAATTATGATAGAAAGTAAGTTAGGTATAAAAAACTTTGGATTCACGAGCTGGAGAGATGGCTCAGCAGTTAAGAGCACTGGCTGCTCCTCCAGAGGACCCCGATTTAATTCCCAGCACCGACATAGCAGCTCAAACTGTCTGTAACTCCAGTTCCAGGGGATCTGACACCTTCACACCAATGCACATAAAGTAAATTTGAATAAATTATTAAAAAAAAAACCAAAAAACTTTGGATTCACTAAGATAGAGTAGATAATGCATTATTTTCTCTGAATATGCTAACTATAAATGGACAGACTATTGTAAATTCTAACTTGATAACTGTTTTTGTTGTGTATAGTTTTACTACCTTAAAGTTAAAACCTTTCTTATTTAGACAAAAAGGAAATGTAGAATATTATTTTAAGGTGTGTTACTTTGTTTATGTTGCATTTGTTTAACTCTGTGAAGCTGTGTTACTGTGCCTGTCTAAACAACTGGTGATCTAATAAAAAGCTGAATGGCCAATAGCAAGGCAGGAGAAAGGATAGGCGGGGCTGGCAGGCAGAGAGAATATATAAGGAGAAATTTAGGAGGAAAGAGGAAGGAGCAAGAGAAGGAAGAGGGCAAGGGGCCAGCCACCCAGCCACACAACCAGCAATGGAGTCAGAAGGAAAGATACACAGAAATAGAGAAACGTAAAAGCCCAGAGGCACAAGACAGACAGGTTAATTTAAGAAAAGATGGCAAGAAACAAGGCAAGCTAAAGTCAGGCATTCATAATTAAGAATAAGCCTCTGTGTGTGATTTATTTATTTGGGACCTGGGTGGCAGGCACCCCAAAAGAGTAAAAGAAAATCCAACAACACTACAGTTTAATAAGTATAAAGTCCAGTTTTTCTAAATTAAAATACAAATGGCCAATATTTTAAAGTGTTCATTATCTTTAGCCATCATGGAAACACAAATTAAAATACTCAGGGGGCTGAAGAGATGGTTCAATGGCTAAGAACCCTTGCTGCTCTTCCAGAGGTCAATCCCGAGCACCTACGTGGGGATTTGGCACACTCTTCTGGCCTTTGAGGGCACCGAGCACAAAGGTGATGCACAGACACACACGCAGGTGAAACACCCGTTCACATAAAATTGAAATTTAAACAGAGTGCACCAGAAGCTGAGTACAGTGGTGCACATTCGCAAGCCCAGGACGTGAGAGGTAAAAGTAGGAGAATGAACGATTCCAGGCTAAGGGCTGGAGAGAAAGCTCTATAATTAAGAATGTTCGTTGCTGGGGCTGGAGAGACGGTTTAGTGGTTAAGAGCACTGGCTGCTCTTCCAGGGGACCTTCTGGGTTTGATTCCCAGCAACCACATGGCTGCTCACACTGCCTGTAACTCCAGTTCCAGGGGGTCTGGCACCCTCAAAGACATGCAAGCAAAACACCAATGCACGTAAAAATGAATAAATCTTTTAAAAAGGAAAAAAAAAAGAGTGCTTGTTCCTTAATTGTGAGAATTGGAGTTCCAATCCTAGATCAAATGGCTCACAACTGCTTATAACTCAAGCTCGAAGAGATCCAACATCCTCTGGCTTCCATGGCACCTGCAGGCACATGTATGCAGACACATGTGCAAACTCTCACAGACACACATAGAATAAAACTATAAATTTTTTTTAAAAAATTAAAAATAGCTATAGCTACAATGGCCAGTTCCAGGCCAGCATGAATTATAGGAACCTATCTTAACAAGTCAAAACAAATGGCCTGTCCTCATACAAAAATGATTGCTTTTGGCATTCCCATAGCGTGGTCTGCCCTTTGTGAAGTATTTGTACACAGTGGAAATCACACATGGAAGTAGTGGTAACAGTCATATGCAGATGAACACCTTACTATGCAGGGAAAACTGGTCACTTGGTAGACATTTACCGAGCAAGCGCTATCGCTCAGGTACAGGAGATCATGGGTCTCAGAGCTCCTTACGAGGTTTACAGAGTGGAGGAGAAAGACATTAACCCAACCCTAACTAGAGTTAACGTAAATTGCGAACAGGAGACAATGTGTGGGAGAATACGAGACACTGTGTGTGCAGATCCTAGGAGGCTTGTGCACAGTGGCTGAAATATGGAGAGCCAAGAGGAGGAAGTCTGGTTAGAGAGGGCCAGGACAGGGGCTTCAAACTGTTAGCCATGTCCGTTTTGTAATCCATCCCCATTTGGGCTGTGCAGTGACAAATTCCAAAACGAAAGTAATTTGGTTTCCAGAACTAAAGTAACTTGCTTTTCTAGATTCTTGCCTCCTGTGCCCTATGGTCCTCCAGTAATGGCTGTCGTGAGAAATACTGATTGATCGCCTGACACCTGATTCATCTGATCCTCCAGGCAATGGCCAACTGCAGGCCAAAAGAGGAAGCCTTCCAACCAACCCCCATCCCAACTTTTTCTGCCCCATGACCACCCCCAGACAATGGGCTGGATTCTTAGACTAGAGACTCCATCTCTTGCAGGTTTATGTCATGAATAAAAGACTGCTGTTTTTTATTCCTGAGTCTGTTTCCCTTCTCTCCTCTTACCAAAAAGTAATGCTTCCTTCCTTCCTTCCTATTTATTTATTTTTGTGGTACTGGGGGATCGAAGCTAGGGCCTTAAACATGTTAGACTGAGTTACAGCCTGTTCTGGTTACTTATTCATTCATTCATTCATTTATTGTCAACTTGACACAGACCTAGGCATATCTGGGAAGAGGAAATCTCAGCTGAGGAATTGCCTTTATCAGACTGGCCTGGAGGAAAGTCTGTGCAGCATTTTCTTGACTAATGATGGATGTGGGAGGGCCAGCCCATTGTGGGTGATACTAGTCCTGGGCAAGTGGTCCTGGGTTGACTAAGAAAGCAGTTGGAGCAAGCCAGTAAGCAGTGTTTCTTCATGGCTTCCACTTAAGTTCCTGATTCCAGGGTGATTCCTGGACTATATACTCAGTGATGAAGTGAACCTGAGAGTTGTAAGATGAAACAGACCCTTCCCTGCCCAAGTTGCTGTGGTCATGGTGTCTTATCACAGCAACAGAAACCCTAAGACACATCACTATCCCCTTTTTCATTATTAGTGGTTTTTGTTTTGTTTTGTTTTTTTAAATCTTGAGCTAGGGTTTCACTAGGTTTCCCAGGCTAGCCTTGAACTTGTGATCCTTCTGCTTCAAGCCTCCTAAGCAGCTGAGCTTATAGATCTGTGCCACCCAGTCAAGCCTCCTAAGTAGCTGAGCTTATAGATCTGTGCCACCCAGTCCAACTTATTTAGTAACTTTAAACTAAGACATATATACTCAGGTTTAATAAAGCTCAGAAATTAGAATGAGTGAGTACAATCAAGAATGAATTTGGGGAATGGAAAGATGGCTCAGCGGTTGAGAGCAGTGGCTGCTCTTCCGGAGGACCCGGGTTCAATTCCCAGTGCCCACATGGCAGCTAACAACTGTCTGCAACTCCAAGATCTGACACCCTCACACAGACATACATGCAGGCAAAACACCAATGCACATAAAATAAAAATAAATCATTAAAAAGAATGAATTTATACACTGGAGTCTCGCTGGGGATACAAACCATACTCAATGGCAGGGCCCATGCCCAGCAGTAGATGGCCAACTCAAAACAAACTCAATAGTATTTTGGGAAAATTCCTTTTGTCTCATAATGCTTTGTTTGGGCTTTTTTTTTTTTTTTTATAAAACTTTATTGGTCTTTTCTTTTTTTTTTTTGGTTTTTCGAAACAGGGTTTCTCTGTGTAGCTTTGCGCCTTTCCTGGAACTCGCTTTGGAGACCAGGCTGGCCTCGAACTCACAGAGATCCGCCTGGCTCTGCCTCCCGAGTGCTGGGATTAAAGGCGTGCGCCACCACCGCCCGGCGGTCTTTTTCTTATATACTATAGTTGTGTGTGTGTGTGTGTGTGTGAATCTGTATTAGGTTACTCTAGAGTAGTGATTCTCAACCTGTGGGTCTCGACCCCCTTTGTAGGGGTCCCTTAAGACCATCGGAAAACACCAATATTTACATTACAATTCATAACAGTAGCAAAATTACAGTTATGAAGTAGCAAAAATAATTTTATAGTTGAGGGTTACAACATGAGGAACTGTATTAAAGGGTCAAAGCATTAGGAAGACTGAGAACCACTGCACTAGAGGAACAGAACTGATGACTATATACTAAACGGGGATTTATTAGATTGGTTTACTCGATACGGCCTGGGCAGACAAACAATGCTAGTTGCTCAGTCCACAAGGATGGGTGTCTCAGCAATCCCAATCTGGACGGTTCCTGGAGAGCTGCTGGTCTTTATTTAGTCTCAGTGGGAAGCTGAAGAGGCTGATTCTTACGTCAGCAAATGAATTCCACAGTGGCAATAACAGGAGGGACGAACTTATCAGCAAGCGAAGGCAAACAGGCCCAAAGCAGTTTCCTTCTTCCACTTCCTTTTGTATGGGCTACCACCCGAAGGCACTGTGCGCATGCCCACTTCAAAGAATCTGACCGAAAATCCCTCACAGGAGTGCCCAGCGGTGTTGCCTTCTACTTGACTCCAGACCCAATCAAGCTGACCACTGGCATTAATTCCTCCTCCCAGCAGCTTAGAATCCTCACTTTTTCACGCGTGCAAATTTGTTCATTCGTACATGCATCTGATAATTATTTGAATGTCCTAGAGGTTAAGAGGAGAAAAGAGCAAATAGGTAGACCAACCGCGGGCTCTACAGCTGGAAGCTTGCACTTTGGGTCAAAGGAGGCATGTCGGCTGTGACGATAAAACAGCAGTGGGGATCGGTGGACAGGACCGACCTCTAAACGCCCGAGTCCGGAAACATCACTGAAACTGGATCTATGTTTGTAAAATGGAAGCCTACCTTGTCAACTGTTCCACGAATGGGGAATAACTGCACAACCAGTGAGTCCGAGTAAACAGCTTCAAGAGGTAAAACCCAAGGCACATAAAGGCTAAGCTACTTCTAGAAGAGTCGGCAAGGTGGCGGGGGCTGCAGCTCGTGTTCAGGAAGAGTCTGGGACTGTCCCTCTCGGCAGAGGGGCACCGGATCTCCTCCAGCCCGGGAGCAAATGTGGAAGTTACTCACCTCCTCCCAGGACTGAGGTGTCCAACACCTGCTTCAGACGAGGCGGAGGCATCTCAAGGCTCTGCGCGCAGACGCATCCCGAAACACAGCGAGGGGCGTGGTATTCCGGACGCAGGCGCAGTCTGCACCACGTGCGCGCGGCGCGCCCCGCCCCGCCCACCAGGAGGCGGGGCCATGAGGCCTGGGCCCCGCCCCTGCGCGTCCGGCTCCTCCCCGGGCCCTGCCTCCAGCTCTCCTGGGCCCGCGGGGAGCCGGGAGCTGGCCCGCTGAGCCGTGCCAAGGGTGCCAGGGCACTGTACGCAGGGGCGGGCCCGGGGGCGGAGTCCGGGCAGCGGTTGCTGTGGGGACGGGGCGGGGACGGGGCCCCGAGGACGGAAGTGAGAAAGTTGCCGGAGTCCCGGGGAGAGTTGGCGGAGCTGTGCGCGCACCGCGGCGATGGGAGGCTCGGGCAGTCGCCTGTCCAAGGAGCTGCTGGCCGAGTACCAGGTGCGCGGGGCGCCAGTTCTCGCGGAGCTCGCGTGCGGGCCCGCGCCGGGGAGTAGGGTTCGGGAGCCGGCGGCGGGGCGGCGGGGGCTTGCCGGCGGCTTGCCGACCCTTGTCTGGATTTGCCTTTCAGGACCTGACGTTCCTGACCAAGCAGGAGATCCTCCTGTGAGTGCTCTCCCGACCCCCGCCCTCCACCGCGGGATTGCCAAGGGGGGTTTGGGGGTGCTGTTCTGGTGGGGATCGGACTGGACACCTCTCTTCCGAGGGTGGGGCCGAGTTTCACGGAAATCAAGATCAGCGGGATCCGGAGGCTCGAAGTGCAGGTCTCGCCCGCGCGCGGGCCTTAGCTTTGCACCACGCATACCTCTGTGTATCCAGGAAAAGTTGGGCTGTTTGAGCCCTGCTAGCCTCCTCTTTGCGGAGCTTCCTGCTGTCTTCTGGAACAGCTGTGGCTCTATGCGGACTTTGCCCTCCGGTAAAAACAAGAAGTCTTGAGGAGCCTAGCTCGCTCTTTTCCCAACTTTACTTGTTTAATACAGTAACCGTTAACGTTTACTGAGCCCTTACTCTGCCCAGGAGCAACGGAGTGATTCCCACATTACTTAAATCTTCAGGAGGAGGTTACAGAACAGGAAAACAGGTTCAGAGGGCTCTGGTAACTTGCGTATAAAGCACACTGTAAGTGATCTGATGGCCAGGACGCTTGACCTAGGGAGGTTCCTGGTCTCTTCAATGAGATTCCACTGGGAAAGAGGTGGTAGGTGAGAGAAGGGGGTCCCTGGAGTGAAAGTGACATCGTAGTTTTGCTCTTTTCTCCCTGATGTTTAGGGTCACTTATAGCTCCTTCCCTAACCTCTCCGTTCTTCAGGAATCTTTGAAATTGTTACTGTAATTGTTAGGGTCCAGGAACTTGGGCCACAGGTAGCCCTAACTAGCTAGGCTGGGCTACCTGCCCTCAGTAGGCCAGTTAAAGGGACAGTATTGAAAAGCAGAGAAATTAAACGTATCCAATGTGGCCACACTGGGAAAAAGAACCAAGAAGTCCAGTGACAAGCCCCTCCTTCCAAGTCAGTCTTCATGTCGAGCTGAGGTGAGGTTTGTATTTAAATATAGGGCAGGAGGTATGTGTAACTAAACAGTCTGCTCAAGATGTGGTCTCTCCATCATTGTTTCAGCTCCATTGTCTTAGGAAAGATGATCTGACAAGTTGCTGGAACTGTGTGAAATCTCTTCCTGGTAGACATTTCCTCCTTGGCTGATACCAGGCTTCATCCTTCTCACAATGTGAGATTATGGGGAATTCTAATATCTTGAGGACCACGGATTCTATAGTCTGACAGCCCAAGGGAGAGGCACAGATATCTGTAGAGTATCTTTTTTCCTGCCAGAACAGTTTCAGAGAGTGTCTGACACACATACATTCCATGCATTCCCCCCTCCATAAATACTCACCTTTAGATGGGAGTCCAAGCCTCTGCTACGCTGTGACTTCCCTCTCTGACTGAAGGTTGCCCAGTGACTGAAGTCCTGGTTATGTGACTTAGTCATGTACCCAGGTTACATGGCGTTCAAAATGCAGAATGGGAATGCAGGGAACACAGGGAGACTGAGTGCTCCAAGGCACCAGTAAGTTCCCCTCTCTCTGCCAGAGCCCACAGGCGGTTTTGTGAGTTGCTTCCCCCGGAGCATCGGAGCGTGGAGGAGTCACTGCACACCCGAGTGTCATCCGAGCAGATGCTCAGCCTTCCAGAGCTCAAGGTTCAGTCCTCCGTCCCCTCCATCCTCTACCCCCTCTATCCACCCTGTCTCTGCTACAGTCCCTAACTCTTCCTGCCATTCTGATTGGTTGGAAGCACATGCCACCACACCCTGGGTTTGTTTTGATGACGATGCGTAATTGTTTGTGTGTGGATCTGTACACATGTAAGTGCCAGTGCCTGTGGAGTACAGAAGGCGTTGGATCCCCTAGTGCTGGAGTTACAGTAAGGCAGTTGTGAGCTGCCTGCCTGTCATGGGTGCTAGGAACAGAATTAGGGTCCTCTGCAAGAACAGAGCAGGCTCTTAATCACCGAGTCATCTTGCTTTTTGAGATTTATGTATTTATTTTATGTATATGAGTGTTCTATCTGCATGTATACCTTTACACCAGAAGAGGGTAACAGATCCACTAGAGATGTTGTGAGCCACCATGTGGGTGCTGGGAACTGAACCCAGGGCCTGTGGAAGAGCAGCCAGTACTCTTAACCTCTAAACCATCTCTCCAGCCCTCTCCTCTTTTTAAAAACAGCAGCTCTGGGGATTAAATGCAGGTCTTTATGTTGACATGGCAAGCACCCCACCACTTCTTTTTTCTAATCCAGGTTTTACTACACAGCCTTGACTGGCCTTGAACTTGATTCAACCCTCCTTTCCCTGCCTTCTGAGCACTGGGATTATAGGCATGCATCCCCATGTCCAGCTTACTGTGAATAAGAATAATAGCTATTATTATTATTATTATTATTATTATTATTATTATTATTTTGAGACAGGATCTTATTGTGGAGTCCCAGCTAGCCTGGCTGGAATTCACTATGTAAACCAGGCTATCCTTGAACTCTTAGACTTTGCCTCCTTGGTGCTGGAATTAAAAGACCATAACGCCTGTCTGTTATGAAATTCCTGTTCAAAGAGCCTGTCTCTATAACAAAGTAATTGTTCAATTAAATATATTTAAAAATGACCAGCTTGGTCCAGCCAAGTAGCTTAGAGGATAAAAACACTTGCCTGGTAAGCCTGAGGACCTAAGTTTGACCTCTGGAACCTATGGTAGAGGAGAGTTGACTATGGAAAGTTATCCTTCGACTTCCGTGTGTGGTGGCATGTGCTCATGTGCACACACACACACACACACTTACAATAATCATCGGCTCATCTTGTTGCTTTGCTTAGGATACCTTCCTTTTCCTGCTGTGACTCCAGTTGTGATGAGCCTGAGTTAGACTCCCAGGGAGCATCTCTGCCCCTTCCCTGGCTGGCTTAGTGGTCCCTCCTGAGCCCTCCATGGAGCCTGAACTCCATTTAGTGCCACTACTGTAACCAGCTGCCTCAAGGGAATCAGTTATGGTAGCACATGCCCGTAATCCATCAGTTGGGAGGTAGAGACAGGAGAATCAAGAGACTGAGGCCAGCCTCAGTTATGAGACCCTCCCTCAAGTTTCCGATTGAGTTGGCTGAGTATGTAACCCAGGCAGTGCCCTGTGACATTCACAGAAGGCTTTCTTACCTAGGCCAACCCCTTCAAGGAGCGAATCTGCATGGTCTTCTCCACGTCCCCTACCAGAGACAGCCTGAGCTTCGAGGACTTCCTGGACCTCCTGAGTGTCTTCAGTGACACAGCAACCCCAGACATCAAGTCACACTATGCCTTCCGCATCTTTGGTAAGCACCCAAAGAACTGCTGGAGCCCGCTCCTTCTTACCTAGGCAATGGGGGTTGGGGGTGTGCGTGTGAAACACCTCTTGCGCATGTCTGTATTGCTCCCTGTGTCTGCTGCCTAGACTTTGATGATGATGGAACCCTGGACAGAGAAGACCTGAGTCGGCTTGTGAACTGCCTCACAGGAGAGGGCGAGGACACACGGCTCAGTGCTTCTGAGATGAAGCAGCTTATCGACAATGTGAGCTGACTCTCCTGGCTGGGCCTGAGGGTGCTGGCGGGGAGGGTTGGGGCTGAAGCCTAACACCCGCCCCTCTCCAGATCCTGGAAGAGTCGGACATTGACAGGGATGGAACCATCAATCTTTCCGAGTTCCAGCACGTCATTTCTCGTTCACCAGACTTTGCCAGGTGTGACCGGAGCGCCCCTGCATTCTGAGTACCCATCTACTCTGGGATATTATTACAGGGGTGTTTTAGGTTGTTCTTCCAGACGGGACACACTGGGGACCGAGCCCACTCTATTTTTGTGATTTTGAGCTACAGGTCTCGTGTAGCTGAGACTGACCTTAAACTCCAGCTGCCTGCCTCCCTGGTGCTAGTGTTGCCGTTGCACCCCACCACGCCTAGCCTAAAGGTTGAACTTGTGGTCTCCCTTCCTCTACCTCCTGAGTGCTGGAATGCCTCATTTATGTGGTGCCAAGGATTGAACCCAGAGTTTCAAACATGTTAGGCAAGCAGTCTACTGAGCTACATCTCCAGCCCCTCATATGAGAACCTTAAAACTGTGGTGGTGCAGGTCTGTGACCCCAGCACGTACAAGACAGAACGGCTGCAATCCAAGGCCCGCTTGGTCTGCACAAGGTCAGCTAGAACTTGGTTCAGGAGGACCAAAAGGGAAAAAAAGTCACAGGAGAGAAGTGGGTGTGATTGGTAAGGTCTGCACCACCTTCTCTCAGAAAACCCACTGTGGGCTAGAGTGTAGCTCAGTGGTAGAGTATACATACATGTTTAACCCTGTGTCAGGCCCTGGGTTTGATCCCCAGCACTAAAGCCAACTCACTCCTTCCCCATGCAGCTCCTTTAAGATT